ATCTGTGGAGATATGTCCCCGAGTCATTCCGTTGCAAGAGCGTGCATGCTCGCTCAACAGCAACCAAGAAGCTTTCAGCGATCCTGAGAGTAGCGATGTTGAGGACCCTTGCAGAAAACCAAGAGCAACCCTCATCTCCCTTCCACTTGAGACCCCGCTCTGACCCCGCGCTGTTATGTCTCTGCCGCAGGTTCGAGGAGCTGGGCCTGGGCGCGGCCATCTTGCCGGAGGTGCTCGAGAACGCGGAGCTCGTTGAGCTGGAGCTCGCGATGGCGGCCAACGCGGCCGCGAGCGGGCGCGCCGAGGCTGTCTTTGAGCCGTTCCCGTCGTTCCTCCTGGAGGGCCGCGAGAACCGCGGCCGAGCCGGCTGGTTTAACTCGAGCCCCAACGCGGCATCTGGCAGCGGAGCCCACAAACCGGTGGCCGCTAATGCACAGGTAAGGGGCGTAGTTGACGGTCCGTGTTTGGTTGGATAGTGTCAGGCTAACCTGCCTTCAGCGGCAGATTTCCGAAATCGAGGATTTTCAAGTTTGCCGGGCGGCTAATCCTCCTGAAGTTGCAAATCACTATCAAATCTTAGCGTTAGGGCAGATTATGTCGGTATCTCTACAGTATAGGGGCGTTTATAGCAGTTGGAGCCACAAGCTGAGGTTAGCGGATTTTGGGTCCTCACACATGGTCAGATGGTGATTTGGACGGTTCTACACAACCTCGGCAGCATTTCCTTCGTTATTGCTCAGGATGTCAGCAGGTTGTCCAATTTGCTGAAGGTCAACCACTTCGAATCGCACACGCTTCGCCCTCGATTCGTGCACTGACCCATTCTGGCCTGACTGATCGTACATGGGCCGGAACTGGACCTACAGAGATTGCTTTGGTTGGTTCTAAAATGAAAGTGAAGAGCAACAGCGATTGGTAGCTTCTCACGAACTATGCCTTCCAGGCCGCCGCCGGGGGTTCCACCGAGAAGGCAATCAAGATGATCGCGCAGCTGAAGGAGGCGCTGGAGGCGGTGCCCCCCCTCAAGGAGCTGACGGGCTGCCGCTCCGAGGCCGCGCTCATCACCGCCTTCGTCAACGGCTGGTACAACCGGCCCGCGTACAGGATGCAGCTCGTGCGGGCCAAGCAGCGCGCGGCCAAAAATCCAGAACACGTAAGGGTGAAGTTCGGCGGAATGATTGACGCTCCGGCTGATCTGAAGGAGCAAGATCCGCAGTCGTCGCCATAGAGAGGTTGCGGGGCAGAAGACGATCGCGGTGGTTTGAATTTCGAACTGCGCGGATTCCCATCGGGTTTCCATGCGTCAAATTGTGGTGTTGGGGCCTTACTTCTTTCTTTGCTCGCCTGGCCACATGCTGAGGTTGTATCCGTCTCTGTGCTTTTTCGCTACCATAGTACATCGTGCCACGAACTCCTCATTCCCCGCTTTACTTCTGAGCCGCTCCAACGTCACTCCCTCACTCATCTTCATCTCCCGGGCGCAGGGCCTGCCCGCGCCGAGCACCCCGACGCGCGACCCCAAGGAGCGCGACCGCGAGATGTTTCCGTACGACCTGGTCCGCTTCGTCCTTTCTTCCAACCGGCTGTCGCTGCGCCACCTGACCGACCCGGACCTGCTCCCGCTAACCAACACGGCGGCGCAGTTCGTGGTGCTGACGGCGGACCCCGAGAAGGAGGCCGCGTTTGCGGCGCTGCGCGCGAGCAAGGGCTCGTTCTTCGCGTTCCACGGGAGCAGCGGCGAGAACTGGTACTCAATCCTGCGCAACGGCCTGCGATCCATGAGCGGCACCAGGTGAGACTGGGCAACGGGTTTATGGGCCGCGATACACACACGTTGAGTCGCTGGTATAAGGCTTCGTTGGGCTAGAATGAACGGGTGCGTAATCTGCGGCACGTTTGTCATTGAAGCGACAAATGACGTAGGGGCATGCTGTGGACTGAACACAGCTGAAGCGCCGCTACACCGGTCTACAGGAAGGACGTGTCTGTCAGATTGCATCGACTAGAGTCTGCGCCGACTGGATCTTGATTGGATTTGTTTTGCCTCAGGTTGGACGCATTATCATGTCTGTGGTTGCTTACCTTGTATCTACTCATAAGCAGATCATCGAATATTTACTTGCGAGTCCAATCTAATAAAGTCTCACAAGCCAACAAGATCGAGGTTGCCGTGCCAGTGCGGCCTCGTGCTTCTGCGTCGACCCCACCGCCCAACACTTGCGTTCACAATGTCTTTCCCGGAGCATACGCTATTGCCGCTGACAAAGCGTCCGTCATCCTTTACCCCCCGAAGCTACCAGATGTACGGCGCTGCCCACGGCGCTGGCATTTACCTGGCGCCCGCTCTGACCACCTCCCTCGGATACTGCGCGCGCCACTCGCTGACGGGGTGGGCCAATGGCACGTACAAGTCCGGCTTCACGTGCCTGGCCATCTGCGAAGTGGTGAAAGGCGCGGCCAGCACGCACGGGACGTTCTGCTTCGTGGTGCCCCCCGGCAAGGAGGACCACGTCGTCATCCGGTACCTGCTGGTCTATGACGGGGCGACCGTCAGCGGGGTGAGAACACTCGCAGAGACCGGACCGTAATTTCTTGGTCGCTGAGAATAGACACCGAGCTCAGGTGACTTGTCGGTTCAGGTACCCGGACGACCGGACGAGAAGTTGAGGTAGGCAAGAGTCCTGCCTGTGACAAACCAGCCGCAGCCTTAGGTATCCCTCTGGAGTCATCGCCGTCTCGGATACTCGTCGGAGAAGCTCCTGTCAACGTATTCGGCAGACTTCGATTCTGTCACAGACGGTGTCGAAGGGGATGGCACTCCGTTGTCTTTGTCCATTTTGAGCCATTGGCTGCTGAAAAATGCCGACAAAGTGACACCTGACCATATATCTTGACGTGCATCTGGCCTGGTAAAAGTGGCTGCCTTCATGGCTGAGCTGAAGGAGAAGAATATAAACTGGCCAGTCTGCCCCGAAAGCACTGAGAAAGTTTCGAGGCACCTGACTTCCTCCCGTCTGCATCCTTTGTTGCAGGCGCACAACATCGCTGACGACAAGCTGGACAATGTCAGCCTGAGCGAGCACTTCCGAAACGTCACCGAAAGCGTGCGCGAGGCGCGGTTCGCACGGCAGGTCGCGCGGCACACCGCGCGGAAGCGGGCGGCGCGGCAGGCGGCCGCCGAGGCCGCGGCCCAAGCCGCCGCGGCCGCTGAGCGCGAGGCCGAAAAGAGCGAGCTGAGCAGGAGGCGGAGCGGCGCGCCTCGGCGCAGGCTTCGAGGGGTTAAGGCAAAGACCCCAGCCGGGGGTTCGGCTAGCGCGACGCAGGCAATCCAAAAGGAGCTGGCAAAGATGATGGCCCTGCAAACGGGCCGGGGGGGCAAAGGGAAGAGCTCGCTGCCGGCCGGGGGGTTCGAGGTAGACGTGGACGAGGAGGACCTGTACAAGTGGCGGGTCAAGCTACGGCCCAGCCTGTTCGCGGGGTCCACGCTGGAAGGGGTGCGTGAGGGGGGCTAGGATTGCCGTTTCTAGCTCGCTAATCTTGCTGTGATTCTCCTTAGAGCGGATCGTCTTGGAAACATGCCATGCCTAACGTGGGAGGAAGGAGGCCAGGTGACTTGGCTGGTGCAATTTTTGCCAGATCTGCGACGAGATCATCTTGAGCGGACCTCAGGATGGTGCAGTCCGTCTTCCTTCTTTGACAACTAGCCTCCCCAAAGGAAGACGTCCACTCGCTCCACGCGCCAATCTCTAGCGAGCGCTGACATGTGTCCCTCCCTGCAGGACCTGCAAAAGGCGGCCAAGGCGCGCCACGTGGCCGAAGTGCCCGTGCTCCTGGAGATCCGCTTCCCGTCCGATTTCCCGTGGCAGCCGCCCTTCATCCGCGTCGTCTCCCCGCGCTTCGCCTTCCACACTGGGCACGTGACCGTCGGCGGCAGCATCTGCATGGAGCTGCTGACCGCAAGCGGCTGGACCCCCGCATACGCGCTCGAAAGCGTGCTTGTACAGGTGAGAGATTTAAGTTTAATTCAATAATATAGATTTATCTAGCAGGCGCACAAGGCGGGGAGAAGGGTGCGCCGAACCGCTTTACCGCTTTTGTTGTAATTGTATGTCACACTGTTATGATATCAATCATTGTATCGCACTTTGTGTAACCACTGGTGAGGATGCAGACGCGACTGAATGTGTGCGTTCAAGTTGACGAGAAACGTCACCAACGGTTGGTGTGCTATTTCTCCGCAGATAATTGCCGAGATGATGAGCGGAAACGCGCGCTTGGACCAGACTTCCCTCCAGAGCGGAATTGAGTACTCGGAAGCGGAAGCGAAAGCTGCCTTCACCCGAGTCGCCAGAGATCACGGTTGGAAAGTGTAGTTAACCCATCAACCCGAGCCATATAGACAGATACCCCCTTTGAGCTTCCTCCAATCTAACAAATTCGAAAAATCGCAAGAGACATCGATACAGTTTCGCCATTATCCTAGGTTATGAAGCGGACGCTACTGTTTGTATCGGAGACTAGGGATTTACACGAGAGCAAAACAGCCCTCTGGATGCCACGGGAGAGAAGCGAGAAGTTGAGGTGGAGAATGTGGCAATTTGCAATGGTCACTGTTGCATGCACCTGATGATCGATGAGATTCAAAGGCTGTTTTCTGGCTTAATTTTGCTGAAGCTAGCCTGTGTGCGCACTCTGGTTGTAAGGAGATGTTCGCCGCCGAATATTGCTCGCCAGCCGCTTAAACCACCATCCCGGGTATATCTCGGGGCAAACCGGCTGGCATTCGCGCCAAGGGCCACCGAAATTCAAATTTCGGCCCGAAGGCGCTCGCTTCCAGCTTGTGCATTTTTGACCTCATACATCAAAGAAACTAAAGCATTACTTCACCGGTTTCGGCGGTTTTGCTTTCTAGAACTCTATCATAGTGGTACTAACAAGGCCAGGTCGAAACCGCCGCTCAATTCGTGCAGAAACAGTCTGTTTTTATGTAGGCAAGGGTACCTTCTTTACGTGTGCGTCCAGTGTGCACCCGTCGCGATTTTCAAGTTGCGAACTTGATTATGAGCATTCCTGGTTACCAGGAGTATTTATACCTTGGGTGGTGGTTTAATACTGTACATATGTAAATATATTGCAAAACTGCAGATCGGCAGATTTGAAGCTGTGGCACTTTGCTGTGCAATACAGTACTCGGTCTTCTGTACATGATCGTCTGAGATCAAGGAGAGAACTACTCCTGTTTTTATATGGAGACGCTGAACCTGGGCCCATCCGCTTGATGGATTGTCCAGCAACAGGACTTGTTTTCTAGCTGCGCCCTGTCGAATTCCTGCGTGATCCCCCTGCCTCTCGATGCGCTTGGTTTCACCGTCGATAAATGAAGCACATAGACGGCTCACAAATCTGCTGACGTACCTGCAATCATTGCACAAAAGTTGGTAAAGTTGAGGATATTTTAGTTGAATCTGCAGCCATCGACGGTTAGGGTATCTCGACAATTATCACGAGGTCCACATGGCATAATCACACGTGTTGAATTCTAGTGCTCAGAAGACTGCCTTCAACCTTGTCCTTGTCAGCAAGTGAAGAAGAGAACTCGCAGTTCGCTGGGCGCCGCATCCATGGCGTCTCGCGCACAGCTGCCCTGCAATGCTCTGTTGCAGGAGCTCAGATCTTCTAGGTACCTAGGTAGGTAGATCTTATGGTACAGACTCCAGAGTCGGTACGTACGCCTGCATGCGCATTCGACCTTCCTTCTGCAAGACCTTTCCTTCTTCAGTTCCACAAACCTTCGTCAATTGTACAGCATTGCCACAGAGAAACTGGTTGTCACGAAGAATTGGTAATCTTGTAGCTTCATTGTCTGCTGAGCAGCGACTTTGTCTCCTGTGCTCATAGTTGGCGGCGATTCCGTAGAACTGCCCAACCTGAGGATCGCATCGGTCACCGCAGCATTCCTCTCAAACATTCCCGGTCTCTTTATCAGCAGAAGAAACATGGCCACCTTGGCGGATCTTATGAATATGGATCTTGAGAAGGAAGGAGTCACCAAGATCATTGCGGAGTATGTTTGGTAAGCACGCGATCTCTGAAGCTGAGGTGCACATTGCCTGCAGCATAAGCAGCTGATCTAGCAGTGAAATTGAACTTGCATTTGATTCATTATCATAGAGAGAGTTTTGTTGTGAAACAAAAGCACCCTAGCTTCCTGATTGTCAACTCAGTTGGTTGCTTTTACCCGACCACATATGTTATGACTTGGGTTCAGCCTTTCCATCGGACAAGCTGGCAAGCTTGATGCGCCGCCACCTTTCGTCACACTTCTTGTATTTTGTGTTTGAGGAAAAGCAAGCCAGCTCTACTGTTATCAACTAACGATTTTCGAATAATGAACCTCTTTAGGAATCGGTGGCACTGAATTGAGCTGCATCGAGCTGGTAATGTTCTGAACAAATGAGCTGACCTCAATTGGCGTCTGCCTTTGCTTCATCGTTTGTATCTTACCTTGTTCAACTCTAGGGGAATCAGTTCGAAGTAGTTGGACAAGGCAGCTTCTGGTTTGTGTTTAATCTGAATCTCAGCAGACAATATAGACGGCGCCCCTTTGTTTCTTCTGAAACCATGAGCTAAGCCTTAAAGAGGCTTGCAGACTGGGGACTCTCTTCTTTAAGCAGAGCTGTGAATTCTTCTGCAGGATCGGTGGGCACAAGTTGGATCTAAGAAGTAAAGCCAGAGTGAGCTCATTGACCTCAGAAACTCATATCTTTATGTTTTTAATATCTTTTTCTGACATCTTATTTTGTGCAAGGGCTGAACATGCACCATTCATGACAGCTTCAGAAGTATGTGAGAAATACCTCATGCACTGCTTCTTATCAATGTCCTATTCGCTATGTGCTTGCTGCTCGCCAGATCTCAACATTGCAGGTCAATCGTCTGGTCTTAAAACTCCGGCACCTTAAGCAAGAAACTACGCACCAAGAGCCCAACCTGGATTCAGAGTTGAGACCTGTTCAGCATTCTTTGCAGTCAGTTTCGCATGTAGATCCCTGTTTTTTTGTAACACTTTATGGTTCTCATTTAGCAGACCTTATACATTGGATGTTGTCTTTGTTGACAAGGACCTTGGCATTGCAGACGCTCGAGGGCCCAGTAACCGACCCTTCCAAGCTCCCAGACTGGAACTACGATGGATCCAGCACGGGTCAGGCCCCCGGAGACGATAGTGAGGTCATCCTCAAGTAAGTATTGCATCTGACGTGAGAGTCGATCCCTCTACTCGCTCAGTTGTCAGATCTTGAGAAGGATCTTCTGCTCATTGCGCTCAAGCTTTCTTAGCACTGCTGACACGAGTTCGACAAAAGTGGAAAACTTGAGTTGTGCCCTTGTTTGCAAACCAGAGTAATTCTGCACTGAATTTTCACGACTGCCAGTGGTTTGACAAGCCTCTGCATTACTGCAGGCCGCAGGCTATTTACCGGGATCCTTTCAGGAAGGGCGCTAACATCCTGGTAAGCAACTTGAACCCACAAGAAGCTGCAATATAGCCTCAATATGCGCAAGGTCTCAAAGGATGCAGATGAGCTTCACAAGAGGCGAGCTGGCGCTCCGCACTCGTTTTGGCCATCATCTCGGTTGCATTGCTCTCACAAGCAGGATCAAAGTGTAGAGGTCAAAAATAAAAAGGTCAAAGTGTGTCAACATAATCTGTCGCAGTTCTTTCAAAAGCTGTCAAATCTACTTTGCATGGATGGTCCGTCTGGGCTGGATCTGCATATGCACCCGTCGAGCTCTTTGCCTAACCTGCGGCGGTGGCTTGCGCAGGTGATGTGCGACACCTACACCCCTGGTGGCGAGCCCCTGCCAACCAACCACAGATTTGCCGCTGCTGAGGTCTTGGAGAAGGTCAAGGAGCATGTGCCCTGGTAAGCGAAAAGAGCGCCTTCTTCATTTCCCATTTTCTTCCCAACATACTGATGTAGCATTCTGATACCCAGAGGTGTGACTGCTGTGGCCGTGTGGCTCTTACAAAAATAACTAGCAGATGATTTTTTCCATGACGGAAAGGCCCTTGTTTGCGTGTGAGATCTCCCTGTCGCCCTAGCATTTCTTATATTTTTGGCGCCCCGTGCAGGTTTGGGATTGAGCAGGAGTACACCCTGTATCAGGCCGGCACCAACTGGCCCCTCGGCTGGCCAAAGGGCGGCTACCCAGGTCCTCAGGTAACACCACCTTGTCCATCTGTCATCTGTTCTGAAGATGTGGTATGTACTTGTTCAGCCCCGCTCTTCAGGCCAACAGAAGGTCCTTATGTTTAACAAATGTCTCTTGACTGCAAAGACTTCGTTTTGGGATTCATGAAACTGACAAAACCCCAAAAACGAGGAGAAGTATGCACTGCTGTCCCTGCTGAAGCCAAGGTTGACTGCACCATTGCAGGGCCCGTACTATTGCGGAGTTGGCGCAGACAAGGCTTGGGGCCGTGAGATTGTGAATGCGCACTACAAGGCATGCCTGTACGCGGGCATCAACATCAGCGGAATTAACGGGGAGGTCATGCCCGGACAGGTCAGCTTGCACGAAATTCCTTTTCACCTTCTTCTGTTGTGATTGTTATCAATGATACAAACGCCCCTTGTTAGAGCTCTCTGTATTCCAAACGAAAAAGCGGAAGACTGAAGTGAGTCTGATTCAGTCCAACACAAGGCTTTATTTGTGAATACTCTTAAACTCGTCTCCTCCTCTTCCAACCACGCAATTAGCAAGCACGGACGTCTTTTTTGGGAGTCGACTTCAGGGGCCGAATTATGTGGAGCTTGATGAACAATGTTGACTGTGCTCTCAAAGAAGGAGCCCTGAAAAGAGCAGGGCAGAATAGTCAGGGGCACGTTCACGGTCACTTGTTCTTACTTCGACGATCTCACGAGCAAAGGCAGGTCCCAAGACGTGACATAACCCGGTACTAAACGTCTCGATCTTGGTGATGCTTGGGCTCCATTCCCCCGTCTCGTACTGACGATCCCTTGTTTCTCGCTGCCAGTGGGAGTACCAGGTTGGCCCCTGTGTCGGAATCGATTCCGGCGACCAGCTGTGGATGTCTCGCTACCTTCTCGAGGTGAGGCAGATCGAGCCTCGACTATCGAGTGCTCACCGTTTGTGGGTAAAAGCCGATCCGCTCTGGCAATTGAACATGCAGTGTGCGCTTGTGTCAACATCGCCATCCTGCAGTCATCCAACTCCTTCCATCTGCTTCGAACCTTTGCAGACGAACGTCTTATATAAGATCTGAGCTGAGCGCCTTAACATTATATGGTGGCTTGCTACATATACATGCAGACATTCCAAATCGAGGCACCTTCATGCTAGTGCTCAACCTGGGGATGAATCGATCAAGATATTTTGTTCTGTCACCGCAGCGGGTAACGGAGATGGCGGACGTCGTGTTGACTCTTGACCCCAAGCCGATCCCTGGGGACTGGAACGGTGCTGGTTGCCACACCAACTACAGGTATTGACCAGCTTGACTCGAATTCGTTCAAAACCCAAGAACCTGGTCAAGAGGGTGTAGAAATGTCTATAGAAATGTCTAATGGACACTTCTTTCAGATAGCCACGACCGAAGGCATCTGTCCCTTTCGCTCCCCGAGTCGGATGTTCGTCCGCCCGCTTTACAACGAAGCTGTGACTAGTTCGTGAACTTTTATAGAATTCAAAGAATTTGCGAGTCTCATGCTACACGACTCCGGCAACAAATTTTCGCCATCATGTATCTGCTTCGTTTGAATTGGTATCTTTACTTGCTTTCTATTGACGTCCGTTGGGAGTTGTCGTCATTGCAACAGTTTTGGCAGAGATTTGCACGAAATCACAACGAGGTCGCATCCTCGAGTTTTACACACTGTCGGAGTCTTCAAGAGGGCCAGTAGAAAGGCTGTCAATGCATCTCGAAGCTCTCGTCCCCGTTCCTTTCCAAGATCTATTCTTAGCTTCATAATTTCATCCAGTCACCACTATTAGAGCAGCACTGCTCCCGGTGCCCTTTCGCCCTCACCCTCCCTCTCGCGCCCGGTGCAGCACCAAGGAGATGCGCGAGAAGGGCGGCATGGCGGCCATCGAGGAGGCGATCAGCAAGCTGGCGATCAAGCACGTGGAGCACATCGAGTGCTACGGCGAGGGCAACGAGCGCCGCCTGACGGGCAAGCACGAGACCGCGTCCATGGAGTCCTTCTCGTGGGGCGTCGCCAACCGGGGTGCGTCGATCCGCGTCGGGCGCGACACCGCGCAGAAGGGGTACGGCTATTTCGAGGACCGGCGGCCCGCGTCCAACATGGACCCCTACATCGTGACCGCCAAGATCGCGGAGACCACCATCCTTTTCGACCCCAAGGACCACCCGCTGCCCAAGTCATGTGAGCGGCAAACACTCTCTGAGATCTGCGTGTAACCGTAGAGCCAGCTGTCTGCCTTCGTGAAAATCTAATGAAATTTGGATGTGGGGCACGAGGTTCTCTCTGGTCGCTTTGGTCTACGAATTGAAGTGCAGATTCGCGTCGTAAGCGTTGAGTACTCGCCTTCGGTCTTTTGATCTGGGGATTAGCGAGGAGCGTTCTCTTGCTGTGTGCGCGAGAGGGTCTTTTGCCTGCCGTTGTCTCAAGGCCCACTGGCGCGTGTGGAAATAGTTCCAGAACAAGAATTTGTAGTTTGACGGGATTATAGCGTCGTTGCAGTGACTCTTCGATAGCATTTCCCGAATTCTCTCGTCCGCCAGCCGGCAGAGCAAGGTCTTTGGCGACACGTCTCCCCCCTCAGGCTACAACACGATGGTACTGTCAATTGACTGAAGCAAGGAGTCACAAATACCCCTCTTGTCACCGCTTCACTCGTGTATTCTGAAAAATGTAGAAGATTTGAAACTCCCAAGATTGGGGTTGGACTAGTTCACATTACGATTGGCGTTGCACACCCCAGTCTCCCATCAGCTGACAGTTTCGCTTGACCTGCAGCGGACAAGCCCCTTTCGCACGTCCCGGCCCCCCACCTTTAGGGGCTACTCGCGGGACCATTGGCTTCCATTCGGAACGGCGCTTCAAGAAGCGGCCTCCGATGCAGGACGTCAAGCACGTACGTCGATTGTTGCTCAATAGATAGGTGCTTTCCGTTGTGAGCAAGAACAAAGATTGAAGTTGTAAAACTTGTGGAGTAGTCCACCCTGTATATTCTTAGTATGTCTCTTGCCCTAGTATCTTCATCGCTTCGGGCCGTTTGAGAGGCTCTAAAGTCGAATTAGCCCGTCAAGTCGGTTGTCTTGAATAGACCATGGTCAAGTGGAGATCTTATTGCAAGTTGACACAATTCGGGCTTCATAGGGCTCGGGGTCAATTGTGAGGCCCCTTGTGTAAAAGCTGAGGTGCTTGATGTACTTTGTTGAGGATTCATCATGGGCACTGGATGTCCACCGTACTCATCATGGTGGACACGAAAGTGGCCGAATCTTGTAAAACAAGTGTGGTAGTCCACCGTACCTCGAGGCTTATGCCGACAAGAGATGGCCCGCGATTACCACGGAACACGCGGAAAGCCGGATCTTCAAAATGGCAGAGCACGTGTGAGCTACATCCCGCATTGGCTGAAGTTTACAGAGTGCTTCCAGTCGGCCTCAGATTAGGACCTTCAACAATCGAACTCTACCGGCTACGAGTACCGGGCACTTTTAGTAATATCGGCGGTTGAAACTTGATTTGAGGTCAACGATGCAAGATCGGACGGAAGCGGGATACAGATGGATGTTTTTGCAATCGGGCGTTCCGCGTGGAAGTCTAGATTACTTTTCGGGTTCGTGCCATGCTCAGTGACACTTCAGGTATTGCAGAATAGACTATAGTCATTCTGAGCAACTGCTTGCAAAGCACGTCGACCGAATCGACTCTAGTTCAGTTCAGCTAGCCAATATGTCGGCCAAAATTCGACGAAGAGGAAAGGACGGTGGAAATGTTTACCGGCACATTTGTCATTGCTATACAAGCAGTTGTTAAGGTATCGGGCACCATGAGAAACAAGCTAGTAACCCAGTCACTGGTTGATCGATACGCGCCCACTGATATGCTAGGGTCATATAGCATGACAGTGTAATTACTGAGTATACGTGTGAAGAAATGGTCGCGTCTCCTTTCGCACGCCATATAGCCAATGTACCAGTTCGGCCATAGGCTTCCTCATGGATGATACAATGTTTGCGTTCTTGTTGCCCATCGCGAGAAACAAGTACGACGTTCTCGACCCGTTCTCGACTGTTTCGGCGCATGCCAAATGCAGAACTTCTGAGTTTCAGCAGAATCTCAGGTCACGACAATGACTCCTTCTATACCCATGTGTTATCCGCGTACGAGTTTTGTAAAATAGGAAATCTTGAACACACTATTTATGTCTCTGAGAAGCCTCCGAGTGTCGGAAAGGGGTGCTTCAGCACGCCAGGCTCACTAAGCCTTGCGAAGCTTTGTATGCGCGGCATGCACTGCTTAAGCCTCAATGCGCGCGGCCGCCTTGTGCGTGTGACCGTCCTGGCCGCGGCCCGGCCGGTTCCGACAACATGCTGGCATGATTGGATTGTACGGAAGGGCCGGGGCCCGGCCCGGGGGCCCGGGCGGCCGCGCTGTCGGGCGGCCCGGTTCGCACGGCTTCGCGGCCGCGCGCCGGGAGGGATGAAATGGAACGTCAGCGCGCATGCATTTGTGTACACGCTGCTAGCCAGCTGAGCTGATTCTGCGTGATCGATAGTCAGAGGTTGGTGGCCTTCGGCCGGCGTGTGGCCGCGCTCTGCAGTCATGATCTAGCTACTGGTAAGTTGTAACTGGCCCGGCCACCATAGGTTTGTGCAGCTCGACGGCGACAGCCTCACAGGGATACCCTGACTGTCAACAGAACCCAAGAGTTAACACCTGCTGCTCCGGGTTTGAGCATTTTGCCCGAGAGATGCGAGCTTGTTTTATAAAGATCCATTTTGAAGAACCTAATGAGGTCGTCTGAGGTTGCTGTTGTAGGAGGTTACTACTCTGGATAGGATGTTAGCTTGCCAACAAAAGCGTCACGTGGTGCTTGGCAGCGTTTCAACCCCCAACTGCAAAGTTGCCCTGCATTGGAGCTGTCGGCCAACCACTGAAGCTATTTGATCCTGCTTAAAAGGGTTACCTCTGAACCCGTTGAACGTCATGTCTTGAAAGGTCCTTGACTGGCTGGCAGCTGTCAGTGTCAGCTGATCAGGAGTCATGCTCGAGCCCAATCAGTTCCAAGGAGGCTCCGGGGCTGGAGAGCTAGCTCTCACTGCCTTCCGGAATCCATCTTCAATCCTGAGAGTTGCCCACCGTCCTTGGGGAGAGTGCTGACATGGACGGTCCAAAAAGTACACGGCATTGCTCTCTCCTCGCGAGATCTGCTGAATAAAGAACGCGAGAATCAACCTGTTGTCTGCATATGAGGGTCAAGCTCAAACAATGCCGTGGATTCTAGTCCCCCGCGGCAGCACCGGGGCTTGCTGCCGGCCCACAGCATGCTGCTAGCAAGGCTCGGCAGCCGGAGGGGATTTATGTCTGCTCTTGTTGGGTCGGTCACGCCTCTCACAGGTGGTGTTGTGGAGTACCTCGACAAAGAGGGCGCTGATCGATTGAGAGCTAGGGGGGGTCCGACGGTTGGCTTGGCAGGAGGGCTCGAGAGCGTGAGGAGCCTATTCACATCGCCAGAGAAGCAAAGTGTGGCGAGTCAGGACGGGGCGATGGAAAAATTGACGACCACCCAGAAATTGGTGACGACGCAGAGGCAGCCCATGATGAAGGACGTCAACATCAATGTCACGATCTCGATCCCGACCGGGGTGCATATGAGCGCGGCTGAGGAATCAGAGCAGAGCACCGTCATCAGAGAGTCCGTTGTGAAGAGCTTCCAGGCAGCTGCGGCGCCCGTTCACACGATAAGCGCAGCGCAGACGGCCCCACCGGCACCTGCCAAAAGCAATCCAAGCCCTACTCCTGTGAAGAAACCTGATGCGGTGAAGCCGGCAGAACCAGTCCGGCCAAAGCCAGCTGGTGTTGTCCCACCAATTAGGAAGGGGTCCAAGGTGCCGCTGCCGCAAGTGGGGATTGGGTTGGTTGCATTGGCGGGGCTGTATGCGCTGCACAAGGGGCTGTCTGGAAGGAGGCGGGAAACGCCACGGCGAATCAATGATGAAGCTAACCAGGCAAGCGGTGAAGAGGGATCTGCCATAGGAAGCGGAGAAGAGGCCAGAACGAACAGCGAGGAACAGCGAACAAAAGATCAGAAGCTGGCAGAGCGAGCAGGGCTGGGAGCTGGCGAGAAGGGAACTGTCAGTGAGGGCGAAAGCAAAGAAGTGTTTGCCCAAGAGGGGGAGATGGTCCAGAGTCTGGCTGTTGTGCTGGAAGGACCGGCGCCCAGCCCCACCGCAGGTACAAGTCCTGTGAAGGCCATGGGTCTGCCTTCGGCTGAAGTGGCAGTCAGCACTCAGCTGCTTGGCAGCCATCAGCATTGGATGAAGGAATTGAGGCCGGAGGCCAATGCCACGTTGGTCAACAATGGAACTGAGGGGTCTCAGGAGAGCCACTCTGAGTTTGTTTCTACAAACCGAGCCAGCGAGCTTGTTGGGACAGGAGAAGGGGGCAGCTTTGTCATGCATGCTGAGGTAGCGGAGGAGAGGAGAGAGAGCACTTTGGCTCAGGCAGAGACGGAAGTAGTGAAACGGGTAGACAGCGTTGTCGCAGTCGCAGGGGAAGACTGCGTGCCTGGGAACAGCGATATTAAAGTGGTCAAGCAGGAGGTGGAAGCAGCGGGGGAGACAGGGTCGGAAGCAAAGCAGCTGGGAAAGAAGCCACGTGTCAAGAAGCTGAGGAAGCGGCTACGGAGCGTGACAAAGAAGACGGCACAAGAAAGTGAGGCGGAGCCAAGTGCAGACGCGTACCTGGACGGGCCAGTCAAAGCTCTGGAGCTGGCGGGCGAGCAAACGGAGATTACAGTGGCAGTGCCTGTTGTGGTGATTGCCAATGAGGCTGCTGGGGTGGAGAATGGCGCTTCTGAGGGGTTGGAAGAGTCGAAGCTAGAAAAAGAAGCAGCCGCCAAGGAAGCAATCATCTGCGAAGGAATGGCAGAGGGCGCGATTGCGGCTGAACCAGCATTTTTGGCGGTGTATGGGCCAGGCAAAGCAGGAGTCGAAGTGGAGGCAGCGCTCGTTGAGCAGAACGGAACGGCTCCCGAAAGCGCTTTAGAGGAGGCAGATGTGGGGTTCCAAGATGCGGAGAGCTTTTTGGACGAGGGAACAGAGTCCCTTTCCGAAACCGCAGACTCGCTCATCCAGGTGGTGGACGGGAAGAAAGGGGAGGCCTTGCAGGGGCGGACCTCAGTGGTTTCTGTGCTCGAGAATGAGGACGAGATGGAGGGAGACGAGGCCTCAGATTGGCGGATGCGGCAAATTGAGGAAAAAGAGAAGCTCGAAGTGGGCGATGCGCAGAGGTGGGGCATCGGGTGGGACTTGGCGGAGGCGCCGGGGCAGTGGAAGACAGACGAGGCGCCGGAGGGGTGGTCGGCTGGTGATGATGATTTTGCGGGGCAGCCAGAAAGACCGGAGGTAGAAGAAACGTGGTCGATGGCAAGCAAGGCTGTGGAAGACGGAGACGAAGAGATTTGGAGCTCAACCGTGACGTCACTGCAGGAGGACGGTGACATCAGCGAGGAGAAGGCCCCGCAGGAAGGAGAATCCGTGGAGGAGAGCATTCACACCTCGCCGCAAGAGGCCGTCCTAGAACTGGACACAGCAGTGATGAGTGTGGGCGTAGGGGCAATGAGAGGCGCAGGGGCAGAGACTGAGATTGGGGCCCAAGTCGCAGAAGATTGGTCGGATGCGGCGACGTGGCACCTTGCCGTTGAGCCAGAGAGGCTGTCCCTGGAGAAGGACGAAGTCGCCCTTCAGACTGATGCCGAGTTGCTGGAGGCCGACGCTGCCCTAAGCGAGCTCGACTGTGCCGGCCTAGAGAGGGCAGACAATCCGCTGCTGATGACGGAAGGCGCGGCTTTGGAGCTGGCGCTGGAGACCGTTCCTATTGCAACGGAGTTCTGCGAGTCCCTTGAACTTAGCTTTAAGAAGGTAAGAGCTGCGCTATTGTCAGACAAGGTCAGTGTGATAAAGTTTGGCTGCGCACATGGCTTGGAAAGGAAACGAGAGAGAGCCAGCCCGCCCGAATCAGACTTGGTCTCTCGCTCTTGTTAAATCTTCTTGGAATGAATGATCTGTGGTTACTTTGAGGGCTGTTTCCCGAGAGAATGCGGGCTCGACGCTTCGTCCAAAAACAAACAGACTTCCGTGAAGGTCGCATAGGTTTTCGGCAACACCCTGACCTTCCCTTCTTGAAGACCAGGTAAAGTAGGTCCGTCGTCTTATTGCGAAATGCGCAATGGTGAGCCTAAGTGATTCTCAGCCGTCTGACAATGTCTGTTCTTTTCAACAGATCGAGGAGACTGCCGTCGCGAACGAGCTCGTGGGCTCCTCAGTGGTCGAAGTTGAGCCCGTCAGACAAGAGCCGGTGGCTATAGTAGCGTCTGAGCCTTACGTGGCAACCGCAGAGAAGGAAACCGTGGCAGAACGTGACGGTTCGGCCGGGCGAGTCCCCTTCTCGGAGGACTTGAGCAACTTCCTGGAAGAGGAGATGGTGGGAGAACTAGGGGAGGGGGCCACCCCTGAGAACCGGGCAGTGCTCGGGGTGAAAAGCGAGGAGCCAAGCGAAGACTGGACGGATGGTGTGCTGGTGCCCGGGGGAGAGGACCGGGGGATCGACTATGTGGAAGGGGGGTCGCTTTTGAACGGCGTGGAGCTTTTGGCCGGAGGTACGACCGGGTCTAATGGGGTCAAGGGCGGGGCTGATGCCTGTGAGCTGATTGAAGAGGAACTTGTGGGCCAGGCAGCATCTGGTGCCCTCGTTGAGAAAGAAGAGGTGAGAGCCGGCCGATGCGGGCTGACTGAGGCTGTCCCAGCGGCTGGGAACGGATGCTTTTGACACGTCAAGGTTCGTGAATGTCTGGCTTTGTTGAGTGTACATGTGCGGAATCCATGTGACAGGACGGCTGAATAGAGGAGCTCGACGACAATTTCCAGGCTTCAAGAGCTGCTTGTGTATGCTTACGAGTTTTAGATGATGCTTACACGAACACCAATGGCTCGAATGCTTCGCCAACCTCCGTTCAATCAATTGATATCCATCCGAGACGTGCGACGGCCAGCTTGAGGAATCTGTTTATTTGTCTTCATGACTCATTAGACACCAGCTCATGAACCTTGAAGACAAATACTCTGATAGTGATGGTCAGCTGCTACTCTTCTCCTCACAGGATTTTATCCTCTCTGCCCTCAACTGCAAGGCCGACTTACCGTTCGACGACCCAGTGAAGGTGCGTACTCTTGCGGTCCGGGGAGAATGGCCCCTGGTGGCCGCGGGAGAAGCGAGCGGAACCCAGGTCGCCGAAGACCGGCGCCAGGTCGCTCTCCTTCCCCCGGCGGTTGAGAGAAAACCGGCGGATTCGCCCCGTGTGCTCGCAGAAGAGCCGGCAGCACCGCAGGTCATTGAGCTGGGAAAGGCGGATGATCATGCTCCGAGTTCCAAAGAGGATGCCCGGTTCTTCGTCGAGGAACCGGAAGAGTTCGCCCTGGTCTTGGCCGCGGGTGCAAAATCCCCTCGGGTGGCGGGCGGCGCGGAACCGGAAGAGGTTCGGGTGGTCGAGGTCGAGGTGCCGGAGGTCGATAAGCACGTCATCTCCGAGTCACTGAAGAAGCGAGAGGTGTGGGCGAGTCTGCCAGCGCCGGAAGATGACGTCAGCAGCGTGGGAACCAAGCTCGGCGCGGCAGGTGCGGAAGTTCCTGACGACACCGAGAAGATCTGCGTCGGCGGATCGAGCGAAGGGCTGAAAGATGGGCCAGACGGCGCAGGACTACATAAAGGAGTGGGGAAGAGGGATGGAAAGAAGTCTCAGGACAAGCTAAAAGAGGGCAAGAGCGGAGAAGATAAGCGAGTCGCATCGGGAAAGGGCGGGCGCGTAGGCCTGGATTGGCAGCTGAACGGTCTGGTGCTGCCCGCAAACGCCGTCGAGGTCCTCTTGGCGGGAGGGAAAACCGTCCAAAGCGCGGAGGTCGACTCTACTGGGCGATCGGAGAAGCCGGGGCTCGCACTCAAGGTGTCTAAAAACCCGCTGTACGACGCCGACGTGTGCCCCTCACCCGGGGCCAATGCCCCGGGGCTGTCCTTGGTGCTGGCGGAGAGTCCCCGGCTGACGGCCCCAACCACGGTCTCCTTCGTGGCGCGCAACGCGGCCGCGCCTGTCGAAACGCGCGCGCACAAAATGGCCGAAGCGGAGACCGGGAAGGTCCAGACGAGCGGCACTGGGGTGGAGAAAGGCAAAGCGAAGCGCCGTTCGGGCGCTAAAAGGAAGGAGGTGAAGTTCTTGGAGATGACGAAAGTGGAAAGCGAGGTTTTGAACGAGGTTGGGGGCCGAGCCCTCCACGTGGACGTTTGGGGTTGGTGGGACAGCCTGGCGTGCGAGAGGACAGCGGCCGTGATTGTGATTTTGTGGGTGATTGCGCTGATCGTGGCCGTGCTGGCGTATCTGGAGCGGGAACGGAGCGGGGCAGCAGGGAAGCCCGTGCCGACGTGACTGGGAGAACTCGTAGTCAAGCGGCTCTTTTCCAGTAGGGTACACGTTACTGATTCTTTCGATCTTACAGCCTGCTAACATATACTAATGCCCTAGAAACTGTGGTAGAAAAGTGCTGATACTGACCAATAACATACTGCTGAATCAACTGCTTCAGTGCTTATAGGGGAGCCCGCTTACCGAGCTAAGGTGGCGCAACGGTGGGTGATGTAAGTGGTGGACTTTTAGTACCATATATACGGGGATATATTTGACAAGCAGATAGTTACTTATACATTACATAGATAGACTGGGGCCAGGACATGAGGAATCTAAAAAAAATGGGCACTGGCTATACAATTGGCCAATTAAGAAGATCCTAGAATTCCTGAGGAATGCTATATACTTGATCGTACAATGGAGTGAAAGGCCAGGCTTCAGAATACATACAATCTTAAGGATCACTGAAAGATATTGTTGTACAGACGTGCTTCAGTGGAGCTCGTCAACTTTAAATGCATCATGTCATGGAAGCCTGCATGTGCCGTTCCGCTTCAGTCCCTACATCGACCATTTATTCGCATCTGATCGCTCTGGAAATGTGATCAAAAACGTAGAGCACTTTGGCTCCGTTAGTACGTGAGCTCTAGCTTGCATGTATATATATATGCTTCGCCCGGGCAGATCTCATTCAGAACATATTGCATGCCGGACAGCTTAATCAAAACCTCCGTTCACAGTATCTTCGCCGGAGGTGCATGCTAACAATGGAACAATCTATATCTTGATAAGCGAACACTGGTGAGTGTTTCGAATCTGCCTTTCTACATCACACGCCACTACAAGACCGCAGCTTTTGCGGCCCAACTGCGGCTGAACGTTTACTTCAACATGTTCCGTTGAATGATACTTCGTAACATGAGACGCAAAAGCTGAGGGACAATAACGCCGCATGGGAACTGCCAGAACTCGGAGGATCAGCGAGCTGACCGATTTTCAATCACATATCGAGAAACTTTGAGTCGATCCCCTGCCGGGTCTCTTGTGGTATCCTACAATTCATGTTCATGTTTTGTTTTCGGTGTAATAACTGACAGTCTTTTATCCTGGCTCTCCCAAAACGCTACTGGCTAGAGCACCCGCCGCGTCGTCTTATGAGTGGGTGAACCCCGCTGAGTCCCCACCGCCTTTTGGGCCGCAAAGTAAGCATGCGACTCATGATCGCCCTGCAGCGTGTAGAGAGATGCCGGAATCAAAAAACTCGCCTTGTTAGAAATGATTTGGCCTCCAACTCCACTTATCTTTTGTATTCAGCATCTGAACAACTTCCAAACGTCATCTTACTTCCGGATCAAGACAGAGCGGCCGCTTCAAGAAACGTCGGATGCTCCAGACGCCGGAAAAATGGTAAATCTCGACAAAGCCATTGAGATCCTAGTTGCCAACATGGTCGCGACGATTGATTCTGCAACTTACCATGAAAGAAGTTTCTGACTCTACTCCTTCATCCGCGCGTTGCAACGCCTCGATGCTCCCGGTTCCAGGACCCTCCCTCGAGCTCGGGGACAGGCCCTGGGAGTCGAACCAACGCCCGAAGCCATCCAGCAGCGTTTGCCGGCACAGCGCGGCCTGCGCGCGCACAAAATTTGATTCAGCCCATGATGCGTTGGTCGAGATGATAACAGACTCTGGATGCACATCCGTTCATTTCTCACCCTTGGAAGGAGCATTATTGCCAACCAGCCATTTCAGTACTTGACGGGTGAATTTTGTTGAGCCATCGTGTGACAACAAAAATACACCCGGTATTTTCGGATTGCTCAAGACTCGACGCTGCGAGCCATCTTCTGCACCCCCCCCGCCTCACCTCGGCCTCCATGTGCTCCAAGTCCGCCCGCAGCGCGCGCAGCTGGTCGAAGCTCTGCCGGTACGCAGCCTTGGCCGCCTTACTCCTGCCAAGCCCCAAACAAAAGCTTTTATCAGAGAAAACGCCAACACTGTCATCACGCAAATCTGCGAGCTCTCAAGCCACCGTCTTTGTGCACCGCCTTAGGTTGGCAGGCAAATAAGCACAGAAGTGGTAGCTACAGAGCGCTTTATAAGAGCGCGAGGAAGACTCAATCAATATTTGCAATCGCATTGAACAGGATAACTCAAGACAGAAAAGGGTGTTTTTCTCACTGTTGCAGCAGCTTGAACTGCTCCTCGTCCAGCACCTCGACCGCGTCCTCCGGCACGTCGGCGCCGGGCGGCGCGCGCGCGCCCTGGCCGGCGCCTCTGCGCGCGTCCAGCGTCTGCTTCAGCGCGTCGATCTCGTGCTTCGCGTCGTTCACCTTGCCCCCCAGCTCGCGCACCGTCAGCCGGGCCTCCCTAAAACAAGGCCACGTGGCAGCTTCAGGCTCGATGAACCTCATTGATGAAAGAATACAGGAGGCCGCCAAGGTACAGGGTTCGTTAGCTTCGCGTTAAACTTGCAACATGCAATTCGATGTTGCTAGCTTCTCTAGAAAAGCGGTTCCCGCACCTGATCTTGTTGGACAGCTCTTGCAGGCGGTCGTTCGCCGCTCTGCCCTCCGGCTCCTCGTGCTTGTACTGGAGAAATGCCTGCACGGAAACAGAAAATCTGCGCGTCAAATCCCTGCGGTCTGTAGAATACCGCGCCGCACGCTGTTCTTCTGCACTCGATATTGTTGCAGCGAACACTTTCCGGATATTCAGGTGACCTCCAAGGTGATCAATATTTACGAAGAATAGAATAGGAATCTAGCTACCCGTTTGCGTTCATACCATCCACCAGAACCGCTACAAGAGCTGCCTCACCCTGTTCTTCCGCTCTGCCTCGGTCTCCCTGGCTGCGGGGCTTTCCGGCGATCCGTTCTGCGGATCCGCGTTCCGCCACGCGGTTCCGTTCAGCGGCGCCGCTTTTGGGCTGGCCGCCCCACCCGCTGTGCTGCGGTCCAAATAGACGGCGTCCTTGGGCCGCGCCTCCGTCGGCGCCTCGCCCACCGGGAAGCTCTACATTATATCAAGAAAGACAGATCATAAGTCAAGATTATAATAGGGTAAGCGTACTGAGACGGGTAGCCTTTATTTGGGGGTAACGAACGGATTAAGAATCGGAGCAGGTCAACGTTTGGGTTAGGGTTTTGGTAAAAGGTGGGTCTCAAAAATATATTGGTTTACACTTCACTTTCTTGACTCTCATACAGTTTACGAGATGACAAGGCTGCGACTGAGATCCGACGACTTCGTTTTTTGGGAGCATCTCTTCCAAGGGCTCAAACTTGTGTACTTCTACAGTGTCCATATGGTTTGGCACTTTCCCGAGTATAATAATCACCTTTCGTGACATTCTTACATGGTACCTCTGTGAAAAGTTTCTCTTTACCTGACAAGAAACTGAACGAAGCATGTTATTTTGCAATCATTCCGGGCCTGGGTTTCTTTCGGTCGCTCACTCGGCTGGAGTTCTGCTCGACCTCGCCCACTCCGTTGGACTGTGCGGACGTTATTCCGTTGGCGGATCCGGACCCGCTGGCCGGACTCTGCAGGAACGTTCCTTGGCTGACGGGCCGGGACCCGCGCGCGGTAGCCAGGTCTTTCTCAAGCTGCACACGCAAAAGGGGAAAGCCTTGAGGAAGCCCATCAAAGGTGAATTGGCCCGGTCCTTACATGACAGGTAATGTATTTAGAGCTTCTTGAAATGCCGGCACCGATATGGACCACGAAGTGCATCCGATCTAAACAATGTTCGAGCTAACCTGCACTATTTTCTGCAAGTTGCAGACAAGACGCATTGCATTTAGAGAGTTTTGCAAGGGGTTACATGTTCAAGCACTATACCGGCTTGAACATTGGATTGATCTTCACCTTCGGCTGGGACTCCATAACCAAAAGGCGGATTGGTTATTCATTTGTCTAAGGTCTGGAAAAGCGCTCACCTCGGTTCGAGCCTTTACGTGTAGTTCCTTGAACAGTCGGTACGTCTCCTTGATCTGCACACGTCACCCTCGCATTATGCATTGCAAAAGACGAGTTCTGATAGCAAAATGGCTGCGTGCACTCGCATCGTATCTGCACCTCTAGAAAAGGTGCTGAGGGCATCGTGCGTCACTCGTCGCCCTGACTTGCCCATGTGTCACTTTGATGAGAGATTTAATGTGAAAGTATTGGCGTCAAGTTGCGGCCTTGCCTGCTTGACGGAGTCTAGGGGGAGGGCATCCAGGCCGCAGTCACCCGTCAGGAACCTGCTGATCTTTCCGCGCAGCTCCTGCAGATCTCCCTCCCTGCAGAAAACAAAGCCTCGTCATAAGCAAGGGACGTAGAGTGAAGTCATTCGCGGCGACCGGGAGCAGCAATCCAGATCTCTTGAACCGATCAAGGGGCCAGGATCGCGACTCTGGGTCAGAGCGCGCGTACCATTCACTTGCCAAGACATACTCAGCAAGCTCCCTTTCCACACACTGCCGCCTCATGTCCGCTTCCCTGGGCATCAACTAATACTGAAGAGGGAAGCAAAAGGGGAAGAGTAACGGAGGGAAGGAAAAGGGAGACAGCTTCATCCGAGCCGCAGACAAATCAGACACAGATTTTGGGGGGGGGCGAATGCGGCGCGCGCTCACGATGGCTCGCTGTACGAGACGCGGCCCTTGCCGCTGAGCGTGTCCTTCATGGCCAGCTCCTGCTTCAGCTCCACCACCTGCCGCTCCAGCCGCCTGCGGTGCATACGCTATGGGGTCAGCGGATCGTTTATCAAAGCAAGTGAAAGGCTGTTGTTTTCAAGGTGATGACTGCGGCAATCGATAACCTGGCCGCGAGAGCACCCCTTGACTTCGGCCATGTCGAGGGCGAAATGCAATAACTCTCTTTCAGATATGAAGACTCGTCACTTCGACATTTGCAGGGAGTCAGATCGCTGAGGAGCCCGCTGCATGCTCCTCTGAGCAATAACGCAAAGTCCAAGTGTCCGCACGGCGACTTGCGGGGCCGGCCCCTACCGTATGACGGTCGCCGGGTCGGTCTTCTCGCTGACCGTAGCAGTTGTAGTGAGCGACCTGACGCGCGCGGCGAAGCGCAGCGTGCTCAGCGTCTCCTCCAGGAACTCGTCGTCCGCCCAGCAGCACGCCAGCAGCACCGTCCGGCAGTTGCCGCCCAGCGCGTCGCGCAGCACGGACGTCAGCTTGGTCTGCCGGAAAGTCACGTGGGGCTGGTTCTTGGCGAGGGCGTTCACCACCTGGCCAGTACGAGAAAGAACTTCAGGGCTGCGAGTTTGGGAGATGAGTGTCCAAGGGAATAAAGGGCAAGGCTTGCGTTGTTGCTTATATGGAGGTGAAGCTTCCTGCCCGTTTGCCAGGGAGAAGTTTTACCTTGAGCAGAATTTGCTGGCCGTCAATCAGGAGATCGCCGTTTTAAAGTTCGACGAACAGTTTCGAATGCTTTCAACGCCGACCCTTGAATGAGACCTCGCCCTCCGGAGCTGTCCAACTCGGGCAGGGTGACGGACAGCCGACATCGGCTTTTGCACCGCTACACGATCGCCCCGCTCTTCCTTCCTTTCATCCTTCCTCCTATGACTGGTCCTTTTTGATGTTCTCCTTGACTTTACATACTTCCTGGAGGACCGACTCTAAACGGAGCCCACTTTCAACTACCCCGAATTAATTACGAAATGCCTTTTCCTTCCCCAGCCCACCTGCTCCAGGAACGTGAGCGACTTGTTGATGGCCGTCGCCTCGCGCAGGCTCTCCCCCGTCACGTGCGTCTTCTTGAGCCGCTCCGACCCCGCCAGGTCCACCAGGTGCAGCTTCGATGACGTCACCTTCTCCGCGGCCCCGACGCCCGCCTCGGCCTCCACGTGGACGGTGAAGATGCAGTGCGAGCGGCTCGAGGCCGCGTTCAGGTAGTGCGCGGCGGTGCTGCGCGCGGCCTCGCCCTCAAAGAAGCACGCCAGCGCCTGTTCTTCGGAGGCGACGGAGCGCCGCGTGAGGCCGCGGACCTGGGGAGCAGGGTGCGAAAATATCAGGGGAAGGCACACATAGCACGGGCGGCTGGCACACGCAGTCACGAGATGCAGGGGTGGAAACGCTGCTGCGATGTATTTCTTGTCACTTTGCGCTGCGGTAGATTGGGCTTTGCCTTGATTGGCGCCTTTGCAAGATCCCGCAGCAAAAGAAGCCTGGCGCCGTAAGGTGCGCTGTCTTTTTCCACAATCTCGTCACGGGGCATTTGCCAGGACATCGTGGAGAGACGACGCCCCATCGCCCTTCCGTAGACATGCCAATTGTTGTGCCTCTCAAGGCAGCTGACCGCCCCTTTGCTGCAGCGCACCTCTACGCTTCCATTCGCATCCTCAGTGACGGTCAGCCCGTTGCTGCTCCCAGGCGCGTCTGCCAGCAGGTCGTACATAGTCTCATTGTAGATCTCGAGGTATGATACGCGCACGTGCACGCTGCCCTCCGGCTTCGACTCGGCCGCACGGAAGATCTGGTGAAGCGCCCGTGGTGTGATGCCCCGCTGGTTGAAAACCTGTGCAGGCAGCAAAGCACTGATCAACAGAAGGATTGGCAAGACGAATTGGTGTGTATGTCGACCGTCTGTACGGAGCTTGCCTCTGGCATAGAGAGGGATCCCGATGTGCGGGCCCTATAGAATTCGGAAAGAGCAAATCTGAGCGTTGGCGCGTAGGAAAAGTGTTGGGAGGCAACGCAAGCCATGTGGCGGAGTACCAGCTCACCCTGGGGTCTCCACTCATGGTGAGGGTCTTCCCCGCCCCTGTCTGGCCGTATGCAAAGATGGTGCCATTGTAGCCGCTGACCACGCTGTCCACCACCTCGCGTGCGCTCTCGTCAAAGATGGCGTCTTGCCCCACATTCTGCACAAAGACCAAGTGGTGGTTATGCAGATGCTTGGTAAGTCCGCTGGCGGAAGCTTGGGAGGGCGGCTGGTTCCGAGGGGTGTGGCGGCGCCACCTGAGAACAGCTTGTGCCACTTAAATGCACCTAACACCACGTCAATGCGATTATTGCAACATTTTTCCACTTTATGCATCTTTGATTCAATGCAAATCTTGCAATAATCATCAGCTGGTCGCATTAATTAGCTAAACGTTGACTCGAATTGCAACGACCTGGAGGATGTGTATCCAGCTCACCTGATAAACCCCATCGAATTTGAAGAGGAGGCTGTCCTGCTGCGCCCCGTCGGTCACCCGGGCGGCCCCTTTCCTGTTTTGGATGCAGACTGACTTGCCGTCCGGCTGCGGGACAATGGACTCACACGAGTGGACCGTGGGCCGCAGCCGCAGGAACACACGCACATTGGTCTTCGGCATTGTGCAGCTGGCGAGATGCCAGCACAACTTATAGAGCTGAAAGCTGTAAGTGCCGGGCAGTTATTGAGACGTGCTTCAAAATCTAGTAGGATGGGTTGAGCTGTTTGAGACCTTCATGTGTCCCGAATAATAAAAGATCGCATACATGCCAGCGATCCGTATTAGACTAAGACTTCTTACTGTCCCGCACCCTATGAAAGACCATGATCTACGTGATAAAGACCGGCATAAAGAAGCATCGACTGAGCTCAACCACTAACTGCAGGTGATTCAGACAGCTGAGGAAGCTCTTGAGTCGTTGCAGCCTGCAAGTGTTGTCCTTCTCGTGCCCGGTCAAGTACCGCATTACAGTGAAGCAGTTCTCCACCCTCCGAGCTCAACCCGACACAGTGTCACAGCTCAAAGAGCTGCATCATGGATGTAATTGAGAACTACAAGCAAGAGTTTGGCATACCTCAGGGCTAGGGGCTAGGACCTAGGCTACTTAAAAGTTTGAAAGAAGACTGAGGCCTTAAAACTGAGCAGGGCTTAGATAGGTCCGCTGGTCCGGAGGAAGGTATTTCACGATTAACTTGTCGTGAAATCGAGTCCGACAACAGGCCTTGACCGGATGAAGGTCCCTAGCTGTATAATTTAATTGAGCTTCAACCATACATCGCGCGCGTGCGAAAAACATGATTGCTTTTGGCCCTCGATTTCACTTTTGAAGGCCTTGACCCGTCGATACAGGTGATTGAAGGACTTCGATATTTGAATTCGCGGGGCGGCCGGCCGCGGCGGGCTGCAGTGCATGAGGCCAGGCACTGACATCCATGAGAGAGATTTCAACCGTGACATGGTCGCATTGGGCGACGCCCGGGCCCCGACGGCGCCTAGCCTGACGCCAGAACGCTAGGCTGGCTTGACGTACACATGTAAGCTGGCCGGCCGTTCTTCATTATTAACGAATAACCCATGGCTCACTTCATCTTTCAACGAAAACTACCGTACTGCAACGAAGAGGCACGCTCATGCATCATGTGGATTTGCTGGATCAACTGATTGCCCGTGCTTTGAGCCCTCCATAGCTACCTGCCATGCGAACGCGCCAGAACTCATTTACTGATTCAAGAGCATAGTGAAGCCATACAAATTATGCAATACCTCGAGATCGTGCAAAGCCTCATGGCTTCTAGCTTGACTAAGTTGTAGCTACTTGAAGCGGATTCGATTGATCCCTGTACCAACCTCAGCATGAATGCGACATTCACCAAAATTGTTGGCACGATTGTACGTTCTTTCGATCCAAGTCAACCATCATTGGAACATTGGATCATGATTGACAATAATAGGGCGTTTGCTTCATTGAGTGGTGGTGCTTTGCAATCCTTCTCCCGGATGCACTCGCGTGCTTGATGCTTACAAGTTTTGCATAAAGGAAGCACGAGTCACTTCATGCAGATGGATAAAGTTAGTCAGGTCGATGTACCTAACTGTTACCAAATCAGCTGAGGGTTTCTAGGATGTTTCAGATCGTTTAAGCCGTCCGTGCCAGTCGTTACCCAAACTATTTCGACCGAATCCAGTCCACCTCGTCTGGTTTCAGGTTATGTAAACCCTGCTTCGCACTTCATCTAAGCGTGCCCCCCATATCCCGGTGTTGTTTACGCGTGATGGGCGGAGACAAGGGCACGGTCGGCTCCTTGGTAGACCTGCCAGAAAAGAAGCCACGTGAGACATGGAACAAAGCGCGATCTGACCACATCCAAATACAAGGATTACCAGCTGAATTGCTTCATGATGGATGAAGCCAAATACGAGCCTTGTCGTTCGTAATAGAGTTGCAGAGGGTACAATCTCTTTGCAGTCAAAAGACCACATACCTTTGAGGAACGAACGGCCTGTCAAAGCTGGGGACGGGGCGAGCCTTGGGAACCATCTCTTTGCGCAGCGCTTTCAACTCCTCTTCCTCCACGGCCTGCAGGTACACAAGCGAATGTCGCCTTTAGGACTAGAACCGTGATGCGAGTCAGCCAACGGGGCAATTGGAAACCGGGCGGCAACAAGCTTCGCAGGGCACTTACGAAGCGTTCATAGTCTGTTTGAGGTTGCGGCATATACTGCCAAAATCCCTGAAAAGCAAAGGTATCTCCACCTGGCCTGACGGTACTCAGCGGCACTCCTGAAAGAACTCATATAGACGTTAGGGCTGAAGATTTTTGGTCCGTTTTCATCATATGCGATGGGGTTAATGTCAAACAACACCTGGTGTCAAAATTCTTCAAGTCTGCGGCACCTTCACTTTGTCGTGCATTTTTTTTGCAAGATCGTCTTCGGCAACAAGCAAGCGTCCAGTCTCGGGCACGACCTCAAGGCGCGCGGGTGTATCAGAGCGTGGTGTATACCCACCTTGACGTGCTCCTGCATCTCGTGGCGGTACTCCTGCGCCATCTTCTCCTTCTCCGCCATCACCGCATCGAACTCGGCTCGCTCCTTGGCGCGTCGCTCCGTCTCCAGCGGCACGTCCCGGCTCTCCGTGAGGGGCAGGCTGGAGCGCGCGGGCACAAACGGCGGGATCGCCTTCGACAGGTTCGGCTGCGCTTTGAACTGGTGTGCCTGCCGCTCGCGCCGGGCCTGCTCCTCCAGCTGGCGCTGCCGCTCCGCCACCTCCACCTCGTGCCGCCACACGCTCTCCAGCGGGAACGGCTCCGGCTGCGTCGGCTCCTTGGTGGGCGGCTTCTTCGGGATCTGGCAGCAAGAGAAGTGCTGGATCGTTAATAAACGTCTGAAGGGCCCTCCGCTGACAGGGCTCAAAAGTTAGCCGAGTCCAAGGGAAGTGCCAACTCAATCTCTTTCTTCGACACCTGCTGTATAAAAAGAGCGACCTCCAGCGGAATACAGAGGTCAGGCGCAGCCTTGACAGGCCGACAAAAGCAGTTCGCACCCGGACCAACTGCACTCATTCTGGCACTCACGTCGGGATAGTCTGTGGTGTATGGCAGGGGCTGCGCCTCGTGCTCCCGCTGGCGCCGCTCGGCCTCCTCCTGGGCAGCCACGCGCTGCATGAAGTCGGCGCGCTTCTGTGCCCCGCGGTCCTGCGCATCGCGACATGGCCCCGGTCAGACAGTAGGCCCGACCCAACAGTACTCATCTAAGAGAAGATGTCAGACGGAGACATTTTCAACGTCGCTTCAAAAGGAGAAAAGTAGTCCAACGCCCCTTCTGTCAGAAGGTGGATTGGACATAGAGGCATTCAACTCTCAGGGGGTGCACTGAGTTGCGGGTGGTCACCTCGGTCCTGAGCGGGAAGGGCTCTGGTTCGGTGACGTGCGCTCGTGGGCGCAGCTCGTACTCGCGTGTCAGCGGGGCCAGGGCCTGCCGCTTCCGAGCGGGCAGATCAGGGAGCTCGGATGGATGCTTCCCCAGGCGGCTGTCCGTGGCCAGCTGGAAGCCCTGCACAAGCACGGGACGAGAGCGTCAAGCACAGTCAGTCGGAACTAAAAGCAGGCTTTGAGACGCAACATTCCGACTGCCACCGTTCACAATCAGGATAAGTCTAGCTTTTCCCATCGTTCAAGGGCATACCGAGTCGACCTAATTCGCCATAGCCCCAGACAAATCAAAAGCATTCTTGGAACTCGCAGGGGGTGCTCGGACCCATTCTCGCTATCCTCGCAGGTCAATCTGAGTTTCTCACTGACGGCCATTCAAAGGCCCTGGTACTTAGCTTGGTCTGCGCCGCCAAGTTTGTACGTAGCTCACCTCTGGCTTGGTAGTCGGAGCGGGGACCACTTTGGGCACCCCCATCTCGCCACAGCTGTCCAGCACCCGCCGGTCGAGCGGCCGTGCCTTGAACTTGGGGTGCTTCAGAATCTCTTCCAGCTCCGCTTCCTCGGAGCTCGTGCCTCTGCAAAGACAAGTGCTGGGTCAGCACTTTGACTGAGGCGCCAGATTCCAATCGAAAGGCTTGGAGGCACAGTCATGAGTACCCCATGCTTTTGAGTTAGGGGCAAGATTGTTGAAGAGTGACGTGAAGTGCAGTAATTGTTAAGCGGTTGACCCAGAATTTATTTTTCAGAAGGCCGCCCCTACCTTGCTGGTCGAGCCCTGTACGCCGTCGTCAGCTGGGGCGACTTTGGCACGGTAAGCCGAAGCGGGTCGAACTTGCCTTGAGATGCCTCCTTCTGGACCACCTGCAGAGACGAGACCACTTGAGTGCAATTTGTCGTCTATTCTGGTTGCTAAAATGCACACGTGCACAAACATATGTGTTCTGCCCGGTCAGGAGTGTAGCGGAGACAGAAGATCTGTCAATAACCAGGATTCAGTCTGGGTGGATCAGTGCATCGCAAAACTTACCATGGCTCGGGTGACTCGCACATCTTCTGTTGGGACGGCGGGCGAGCGCAGCTTGGCACGTTCGTCAGTAAGGAGGTGGAACTCCTCTGGCTGGGTGACGTGAAGTTGGGCCGGCTTGGCAATGCTCAGGTTCTCACCACGCCGTACCTGCGAGGTGACGACAAGAGCTGTTCTTTGAAGCAAACTTGATGTGCCTTTGAGGAGAAGAGGATGTTATCAGTATCTCGTACATACAGTCATTGGGCTCTATGCATATAGTTTCCGTCTTCCAAAGCGAAAGTAATGCCTCCGGCTCATTCAAGCTTACCTTGTCGCTGTAAGGTCGGGCTTTGAACTTGGGCATGGCTGCCAGCTCCTCCTCCTCAATCTCGGCTGAGCTTTTGATCCTGCAACCAGGAATAAATGCTACTGATCAATCCAATCGGCATGTCAGAATGCAACACCTAAGCCGAGGCCCTCACCTTGGTGAATTCATCTCCAAGACCTGCTCGGTCTATCCCGGAAGAATTTGAACAAGAAACGGGCCACCCCTGACGGGACTGCCTCGAAACGTCTGCTGCATTTTCTTTGAGGAGAGCCCTACCTTGTCATCCGGACCCTGGTTGCAGTCAAGAACTGGGGCTCTACTGGGCGGGTCAGGGGAAGATCGACTTTGGCCCCAGGTTGAGGGCGGTCCTGCAAACAGTTGGCGTTTGAAATCAGATCGTCCAGAGCTCATCCTCTTGATTGGAAACAGTCCCCAAGAGAACCCAAGATATGCTCCGCTAACATTACTTAAGTTATCCATCTGCGAATCCAGCCACGAAGGCGGTGAGTTACATTGGGCTGAAAGCTCACCTGGTTGCGGGGCTTGGAGTGGAACCGCGTGGGCGTCTTGCTCTGGAACTTCTGGACACTTTCGGCCAGCGACACGAACTTGCCATTCCGCAACTCCATTGGGCTTTCACCACGGAGATGGGCTCTGTCTTCGGTGGCAAAGTGGACTTCATGCGGGATGGTGAGAGGTGCAGCAGACCTGGGTGGAAGGACAGGCCCCCGCGAGCCAAGGATCTGCCAAGAAAGAGTTTGATATTTTCATCTCTCAGGTGGCGCCAGCATGCTCATTATGCGCAACTAATACATGGCTTCCCAGGCAGCAATATCGGCAGTGCCCCTCAGTAGGGCCAGCGCAACTCCTGGTTGTTTGCCTCTGCTCTTGCAATCAAGCCGATTACTCGTTTCACTGGAGGGGGGAGACCTACTTCGGCACTAGTTTATTGGTTCTCTCAAATTTATATGTGGAAGAGAGTTGTGGATACTTTTACTCCAATGCGTGTCTCAGTGTCAGTGATAAACAAAACTCAATGGGCCTGTGGTCTAGCAATAAAGAGACGGAAGCGGATTGTGGGAGAAGGGTCTACCTCTTCAAGTCGGTCTTTGGATACCTTCCTCTTCTTCCTTGCCCTCTCCTGATCCTCGTTGACCCGGGATGCAGCTCCCGTCAAAGCTCTGGTACCCGACGTAGAAGGCTCTCCTTGCCTGTGTCACAATATGGATGTTGTGAGGACAGTGGGGGCCCTAAGTACTGGATCTCTTGTTGCATCCAAATAGCGGAGACTCATCCTGGCCTGAACCTTTTGAACTCATACATCCCTGGTGAGTTTCTGCATTCCTCACCTGGCTGAAGGCAGGAACGCTGAGCCCTGAAGGTCTGTTGGGCTGCTTATGCAATTCAAGCAGCTTCCGTATGAGCATTGGAAGAGCACAAAGCTTACCTTTCGGGATTTACAGCGGTGACTAGGGTGTCTTGCTTGTCTGCCTGCTCGCTCCACTGCAGCTCTGAGTATAGACGCTTTGCAGGCAACATTTCCGGGGTTAGCAGCGCCTTCTGGGCCTCCTCGATGGTCGCTTCCAGCATGTCTGTGTCTCTGCCTGCTTTCACCAGTGATCGAGTTATGGGTCTGTGCTCAGCTGCCAAAGCTTCCAGAACCTCCTTCCTACCGGGTGTCTTCTTATCGGAGCCTTGAAGAAGTGTGTGTCCTGCTGACTCTTCTACCATGATCTGCTGAGAAAGGGCTGCCTTTGCTGCTGACTTGCCATAGGCAGGGGATGAGAGCGGATGAGCGACCTGCATATTGGTCCTGCAAACGAAGCAATTGTCCTTGTGTTCAGCATCATGCTGTGGCTGACAGCGCGCCTGAAATAGACATGAAACACCTGGAAGCATCAAAAGCTGCTCAGAGGCCCTTCAAACATTCTGATCGACCACAGTGGTCCACCTCCAAGAAGCAGACTTCACTGCATGAAATCTCCCCTTACACAGCAAGAACCCATATGTTTACCTGTCCTGCAGGGGAGTTTTGGCTGGAGTCTTTGCAGCTTTCATCTTCATTGCACTCCTTGTCAGGGGCTGCATGAGACACGCTGTACTTCAGTAATCAAAAGACTCCACAACAGCTTCCTTGAAGACAACAAATTAACACAGGATATAATAGCAACTTAACCATCCGCTGTGAAACTTACACTCTATCATTTATCCACCTCCCAGGACATTATGAGCATATCCTCACCTTTGTGCTTCCTGTGTGCATCTGCTTTGACCTCTTGGCGGCAACTTGTGCTGCAAAGGCAAAAGATTTTGTTCTTCAGATGATGATGATGGATTCACTTTGGTCTACCACCTCTCCTTAGCAAACATCGTGCATCTCAGCGATCAGACGCCATTGATCGCGGCAATGTGCCAAACATGTGCTGACAGACAGAGAGAGAACTTACGTGATATCTCATCTGGCACCGTTTTCATATCAAACCATGTGTCTACTTGCATCGCTTCCTGGTCCAAGTCACCGTCTGGCTTGCTGAAATCAAAAAACTTTGGTGCACAGAATTCATATGCAGGATCTATGCCCCCATCTTGGACAATGTCTTCCTGGAATATGTCCATGGTGGATGCTTCTGTCCCTGCCATCATCTAGCAAGCTGCAATCAGCAAGGGCCGCTTGGCACTCCGATGCCTGCTTGTTAAGGTCCAAAACGTGCCTCCTGCCTCCTCTTTATCTCTCAACACATTAAAAATCCACAAGCCCAGCCCTAGATCCTAGATCCTAGAATTACCCCTAGTGCAGTTGGTCAGAGAACACGGCATGCGAGTATGAACGTCTTCTATCGCCCTGCTCGCACCACTGCCAACCAATTGTCCGGCTGGAGCGCGCCTTCTCCCTCCCTTCCCTTCTTCGCAAATGCATCGTTTCAAAACTTGAAATCGGCGCTGCCGTTTTGGCTCAACGGAGAGCGGTCAATCTAACTCAACGGACGGCTCGATCATGTTTAAATTCTGCGCGCGCGACCGAACCCTTGTGGGGTTTGGATATGGAAGAGCGGAAAGGCGCGGCGCGCGATGCCCGCGCAGCTAGCGCTGGCTCTAGAAACTACGGTACCCAGCTCGATCGGCCAGCCATGCATGGCCGTGCTAGTGCTCGCAACAGGCTTGTTTCAGCGACAAAAGGACCTAGGTAGGAGGTCACCGTAGGACGCACTACAACACTTTAGGTGGCAAGTGATCAGCAAATTGCGTCCTCTCAGCTCCACAAAATTCTTCGTACTTAATATGCTATTGTCGCTAATTTGAACACCCTAAGCCCTAGTTCTGTCAAACATTCAAAGGAGATGAAACGGACCAATGAAAGGGCAGCAGGCCTGTTGGAGCAATGGGGAGTTTGCTTCTACCTCATATTCTTTGCTGGGGGAATTTGGTGCTACATACTGGCGGCAGCTCTGCTCTTGCACAGATACACCCGGTTCTTTATGATGATGTAAGTGATTTGAAGATTTACTTTGCTTTCGGGTGCATGTTGCATCATGGAAACTTGTGCTCTATGTAAGTAAGGCAAAAGTGGTATGGTCTTCTCTGGTGAGCTTTGATTTTGAGGGCAGTCTTTTCTCAGCAATGTGAGCCCTTGCATGCAGAGGGATCACTCAGCGAATTTGGTCGTGCAGTTATCTTCTCCACATCTATCTGTTTGGAAGGAAGGCAGCATCTTCTGGATCATGGCCTGCCCCACTGAAGAGGTGAGGGCAACCGCTCATGTCGCTGAGCAATTTACCACTGCACCCAAGCTGGGCAATGCTGATGCTACAAGAAGGTTTGCAAGATTTCCTCTTCTCATAAGCTGTTCCTGCGCAAGAAGTGTGAGTCTACCATGTTGCCAGCTGATCACAAGGTGGTGGATTGTCGCAATGAAGAATGCTGCCCACTTGCCCCCGGAGGAGTCAAAGAGAGGCTGTGTTTGTTCACAGCAAGATGGTGGTGCTCAACCCCAAATTGGTCTTTCCATTTCCTTGCAGGCTGAGTGTGTGGAAGTGGATGAGAGATTACTTTCCTGCCCAGATGATACGAACAGCAGATTTGGACCCGAGCCGGCCCTACCTCTTTGCCGTCCACCCCCACGGCATCCTTGCCCAGGGTGCCTGGCTCGGTTTCGCCACAGATGCAACTTCCTTTCCTCAGTTGTATCCAGGAGTTAACCCTCACTTTCTCACGCTCACGCCGCACTTCCGGACACCCTTCTTGCGGGAGTTCCTCCTCCTGCATGGCGTCTGCGACTCGGCTAAAGAAACATGCGTCGGTCTCCTTGCAAGGTAATGTCCTTTCTAGTTTCAAGCATTCTTCGAGAAAGCCATTCAGCATTTACGAGCAGTGGGTAAATGAGCTGCTCGGACGTCGTTCTGGAAAAGCCGACTATCTTGTGTATCCTCAGCTGAGCTGTTTGTCTAGTTTTCAAAGACATATATGGCTTCCATCTTATGACAACAGGGTGACACCAATGAACAATCTCGTTGATGTCCATGACTCTTACTGTTCATGATAAGTATCCATTTACAGCTTCTAACTTTGACCAACTGCAGGGGCCAGTCCATTGTCCTGACAGTGGGAGGTGCCCGCGAAAGTCTGTATGCCAAGCCTGGGACCGTGAACCTCGTGCTCGAACGACGGAAAGGCTTCGTCAAGGTGGCGCTTGAGACCGGGGCAAGCCTGGTTCCAGTCATTAGTTTTGGAGAGAACGACGTGTATGACACAGTCCTTACCGACCCAGCATCTGTATGGGGACGAATACAAAGGTGGGCATACCCTCATCAAAGTGGCATTGTTCAGGGTCACTTCAGGGTACTGTCTGAAGCATGGCTTCTGCGCGTGGAATCCCTTCCGAATCTCGTCCAAGTGATCGTGCCAATCTGTGCACTCTGATGGAACGGCTTTGAAAGTTTAGCGCTTTGGTGGCCAGTGGATCCTCCCAAGATATATCAGGACCGAGACACTACGATCTTTTAGACTTGGAACCTTACAATTTAGGAGGACTTGATAAAGTCACCTGCTCAAAAAGAGACAGGAAGGTATGAGAGGCAGCTACAACATTCACCCTACTTGAATGTTGGATCTTTGCACCACTGGAGGAGACACGCCAATGTCTCCTTTCTCTGCTTCGTCGACTTTATTCCGAACCATGATTGTTGCTTTTGCTTACGGAACCGTTTCTGCCCTTATCAGGTACTTTCTCACCGTTTGGGGCGTTACACTCCCCGACTTCAAGGGAAGAGGCATCTTTTTCATGCCCTTTGTAAAAATGCAACCATATGCGGTGCCCATGAACATAGTGGTAGGGGCACCACTCCATGTACAGAAGTTCGAGGGCGATATAGAGTCAAAAGAAGGCAAGCTGCTGGTCGACTCGGTTCACAGTCAGTACAAGAAGGCTCTCCTGGACCTTTGGGAGGTTCACAAGGCGAGGTTCTTGGCAAACCCCGAGACCGAGCTCAGGTTTATCTAGCTTCGAGGCATGCAATGCCAGGACTTTCCCCTGTTGTGGAACATGAATCATGGGCACAAGCGCTGCGCCCAGGACTTTCTTACGTATTATCTACGCGATTGCGGGCAGTCTGACTCGTACATGAGTCGAAAGAGACGATCAAATTTGAGGACGTCAGCTAGAAAGAGAGGCACCGACAATGCTGGTTAATTTTATATACTGCTCATCTTTGGATAGCACTTCCATCCAGCGACGCGCCGGCTCACTTATGATTCCGACGGTCCATGTGATTGGCAATGAGGCGGAATGATGGGCACATATGGACGCTCAATCATGTTGTATATTGGAATCTGAGCCGAGTCTGGCCCATATGTCGAATTATGCAGGGCAATATGCGGCCCGGCGGCCGCTATATTCAGCAATTTGTGCATCATGCCAATGCAAAAGTTAAAATCCAGTGCCGCCGCGCCGCGCAGCTGCGGCCCTAACTAATTCTGCGCTAGGAATCAAGGGTCGATCCAACTTAACTTTCAATGTTGATCTCTGATGATAATGATCATTGCGTTGATCGTAACGTATGCATCTTGATATCGAGAATTATCGCGGTTCAAGTACGTGCAGCATTCTCCTGTGCTTGCACGTACGGCATGACACGTAGCAGCGCCCTGTTCAATTTAGTTTTCTCTCAGGTCTTTTATGAGTTTCTTTTAGTACACAGCCTGCGTGCAATATTCACCATGCATTGCGATTATTATGGTCCTAGCTACTTTTGCAGGGGCGCCCCCAACCTCGGAAGCTCACCCCGGGTGGCCGCCCGCTCCATTCGTCATATATGTTCTGAACGAGTCAAGAGTTGTAATTCTGAGAATGTGGTCATGGGTCACTCGGTGCGATATCATGTCGGTGCACAGTCGAAGTGCCTTGATTGGACGGTGAAAGTGAAAAACATATACGTAATTACATGTCACTCATACGGCATATCATATCATCTGTGATCCCGACAATGCAGACGTACAAACGCTCTAGCTAGCTTGAGTCTGTCGCACAATGATGCACCGTACTTGTCTCCGTATCCTCGTACCTATTGCAGCATCCACGAATCTCTAACTTATACTGCTACCTGAGGAGCTAAGTACCCCAGATGAAAATCTACTCGACATGGAAGTGGTCTTGGTCCTTACAGCTGTTGTGTGTGCCCAACTTTTCGTGCTATCATGATTGGCCCGTGCTATTGATACTTCGTCTGTTGACTAACTCCGTTAAAATGTCGATGCACCTACCGACGAGTCCACGTCCTTGACTGTTCTACGGTTTCATCTGCTTCAAGGCTTATGTAACACACACTGTACAGACCTACTGTCTTCTCGAAGGTGGTGTCAAAACCAGCCCGTATGCTACAGTACACTACCGTGCACATTCCTAACCTTAATGTGCAGTCTTTCGATGGGTTGAGGAGCCCTGAACAAATAGACCATTTAATCACAGAGTCGGAAACGACTCTTCTATAATACACTCGCTCATTTCATTTCTTCTTGACACTTGTGCCGGCGTGCAATCTGGTCGACAGAGGCTTGGGCGTGCGTCTCTTGACGTCAAAGCCCCGCACACAAATGTATCCTGCAATTGCGAAGGGTGTTAGTGCCCGTCACTGGTCTTCATGTCGTTTCCAACAATACACCTCACAAGTGTTTGCCAGCTTTGAGAAGGTACAACAGACGTCTTTATTTAGTTCTCTTTTGCTGACCCCAGCGATCCATTCGTCAAGTATACGCTTTCAACGGTAGACATGACGACTTCAAGGCAGCGCCACTCCTCCTGCATCATGGTACCGCGTACCATGATGCAACTGATGGGGGCCGATTTGTGCTTCGCAGTCACTCACGTATTAGGGATACTTCGAAGCGGCTCATCTATTTCTGTGTGCAGCGAAAATAAGGGAGCCTGATTACCCGGGAACTCGCATTATCCAGGGACCGCTCGAAGCACCGGTCAATCGTTAATGCAACTTGGCATAGGCACACCAGCAACGACGAAGCAATTTTCGCTCATGGTTAAGCGGATTGTGGAACCGAAGAGATTCAGAAGCAAAGCGAACGGGAAACAGCCGCCATTCTAGTCGAGGGTTCCGCTCACCGTGCTGGAAGACCTCTCTGACGGCCTCCAGCGAGGCCGCCTTGAACATGTTGGTGGCGCCTGTCCCGAACAGGACCGTACTGCGCGGCAGGCCCGCAAAGTCGGCCGCGGGCGCAGCGAGGGGGCGCTGCGACGTGGCGTGGTCCGCAAAGAGCTCGTTAGTCTGGAAGTAGGTGCCGTTGAGGGGGAAGCGCCCGGACATGGCCGTGCGGCACGGCACCTGCGCCAAAGGGGAGGTCGCTTGCGGATTGCGACCTTTTGGTAGCACTGACTATCAAGGAGGCTGATGAGTGGCGCAAAATGGCGTCAAATGCGCAGCCCTCAGGTTCTTTTTAGCGGACTGCATAGCCTAAACTAGCCTCAGGTTCTCGAATCAAATTGATTGGCGTCTTGTCATTCCGCAGATGGACGAAAGAAGAGTCTCCGCTGTGCTGTGACACTCCAGGGAGCATCTGAAGCAGTTTGATGCGACCAGCACATCCGACAGCTCATGTGAGATCCTGCCAAACGCTTACCAGCAGTGTGACGAAGACCGTGCCTCCCTCGTTGCAGCAGCACGTGCTGCACGTGCACGGGCTTGCCGCGGACATCTCGGGCGGCGCTTTCTCCCCGGTGCTCTCCCCCGGGGTCCTGTCCTGGACTGCCTGAAGCCCATCAACCGAACGGGCTGCCGTCCCCGCTGTCGGAGGCGACGGCGACATTTGCGGCCTGTCCGGCCGCACCTTCTCCGGGGTGGCCGGCCAGCTGACCGGAGGCGACGGCGGCATGAGGTCGGCAGCAGGGGGAGGAACGTCAGGAGGGATCCCTTGGGAGGCGACCGGGGTCATGATGGTGCAAGCTTCATCCGCGGGATGCGGGCTGTTGGCTGCTCGGGACAGGGAGGGCGTCTCTGGAGATATTGCAGGTCGAGACGCGGAGTAAAGTGCCGTTGCATCCGGAAAACCTTTGACCGTTGCTGAGGCCGCCCCTTCGTGCGGGGGACAGTCAAGGGCTGCCAAGCCGCACTCTGCGGCATCGGGAGTGGAGGTGCCGTCAAGGGGAGGGGTGGAGACGAGTTGAGCAATTGGTTGCTCTGAGGGACACGTGGCACGGTAGGTGATCACCGCTGCGGAAACGTCAGCTGGGCAAGCGCTAGTACCCAGGGCTCGGACTTCGCAGTCGGGCACAAAGGAGGGGGGCTGCCTGGCTGCCTTGCTTCCCTTCGCGTCTATCGCGTCGCAGGGGCCAGCAGTTTTGTGGTCTCCCGTCGCAACGTCTCCCCGTTCTTCCCACAGATTAAGCACCTCTGCTCGGAACCTCTTCGCCCCGTGCTCACACTCCCCCGCTGCACCGCCACTGGCAGCTTTGTCTCCAGCGGCCCCCGACTTGCAAATCGCCCGGGTCCTCTCCCTCGACCTCCTGTTAAACGGCACCAGCCAGCCCGCCGGCTGATCCCTCTCGCTCCGTTCTCCCGGCCCACGGTGTCGCCCCTCATCGGCTACCTCCGACGCGTTACTCTCCTGCTTTACCGTGCATGCCGCCGGGCGCCCTGATTGCCCCACAACTGCTCGTTCCTTCCGTTTGTCTTCCCGTTCCGCCCCGCTTCCGTGACGCTCAATGAACCCCCCGCTCTCGTTCTCTTTCGCGTCCGGCCTTGCAACCCCCGGTTCCGTAAACGCAACCCTGGTCCGCCTCTTACGGGGCGACCCCAGCAGAATGCGCTCCAGCCTGACCACACCGTCTGGGGCCAACTTGTCCCCGTCCGTGGTCGCCGCCGCCAACCTCCTCTTCTCGCCGCGGGTCTGGATCACCAGTTGCGTCTCCTCAGCTTCTTGCTTCATCTCTCGCGGCAAAAAAAGGGGCTCGCTTTGAAAAAGGCATGTGCCAGAAGGCTCTGGCTTCAGGTTGCTGCGCCAGCCGCCCCCCTGGCCTGACCGCACGCGCACGCTCCGAGGTCGTCTTACAACCCCGGACTGTACCGTAAGCGCTAAGGCATCGCTAGCTACCTGGGCTGCTCCTGAACTCTCACATCGCCCCTCTGGTACCGTGTCAATGAGATGGTGACACGTCATCTCGCTCGGGACTTCCGCAGGAGGGGTAACGGGAATGCTGGGCTTGGAATCGACAGCCGTGGGCTCTCTGAACGACAGCTCGGTGGGAGGCCGGGTCGAAAAGGCCGCACTGAGAGGACCGGCTCCGGCTTCCTTTTCTTGACAGAGTAGTGAAGGAGCAGCAGGTTCTGCCAAGGCCACTGTGTCGACCCCTAGCGAGCTCCGAGTGGCGCCAAGTTGGCGTCGCCTCTGCGTTTCAAAGACATCTGCCCCCCGACTTTCGTCTTCCCGAAACGCGTGCACCGTGCTGACGTCCGAGACAACAAGGTCTGCTGCTGGGTGGCCGCCCTGCAGGTACACAGGCTCGGGGACCTCCTTCGTGGCTCCGGCTGTTTGTCTGTCGCCGGAGGCCGCTTCACTGGACTCTAGTGGAATCTCGTTGAGGTCGGGCAACAACGTAGGGAATGCAGGGTCGAGACTGGCGGGCCACAGGACCGCGAAATAGGGGCACGGGTCGTCTGCCTCCCGTTGCTGAAACTGCAAGGGTACCACGTTGCGGATTGACGACTTCGATTCATCTACAAACTGCAAGAAATCAAGTTGTCCTCTCGAGTCATGCTTTTGGGGAGGTCCTGCTAGTTTCAGAAGTCGATCTTCCTCCAACTTGAATTAGCAGGCTTAGAAGGACTAAGGAGGACGAGAAACGGAAGTCTCTCTTCGCCCAAGATTTTAAGACAATGCAGACCGCTTGTATGATTGGGTATCGAGAAATGACGCTTGGACCAACCGACCAATCGACCTTAACCAATCTGCACATCAACCAAACGAGATCAGTTTGCACAATACAAGAGCGAAACCTTGTAGTAGCAATCTGGGTTTGAAGTTCGGGTCGCACAGGCACGTGCCCAATATGCAGCCGTTACAGACCGCCTTCTCAGTTCTGGGCAAGCTTTTGGTTGATGCGGATCGAGCAACCCTACTTTGCCCAGAAGAACGCATTCTAGCACTACGCGACAGTAAGTCGTAAGCATACCCAACAGAACAAGAGTTTTTGCCCTGTCCCCAGACGGTAGCAAGAAAAGCAAGTCACCAAAAAGCATTTTCAACGTTACCTAGACATTCCTCACCTGCCGCAGCAGCGGGTGGTCCTCTGGCAGCCGCACCGCGTGGCGCAGCGTGCGCAGCTTCTCGGGCCGCTTCAGAGGAAGCGCCCAGAACACGGTGGGCACGCGCACCTTCCTGCCGATGCCCCGCTTCCGGGCGTCCTGCGCCGCGCCCTTCACGGTCTCCCGCAGCCCCCGCGCGGTCTCCTCGTCGGGGAAACTGAGAGGGATGTTCAAGTCCGGCAGCCCAGTCACGCTGGGCTGGTCTGCGCGGTGATCTTGGCCGTAAAGAGAAGGGTGCAGGAGCGGAGAGCTGACTGGAGAAGCGTGGTGCGAGTTGGACGGAAAGCCTTGGTAGGGGACGATCGCCCTCGAAAAGGACGGACTCGCAAGTCCCTGCCCGGTAGATTGTTCCAGGGTCATCTTACTGACTGAGTTGGACTTTGAGGAAGAGGTTGGTGGGACGTTGAAAGCGGACAATTTGGGCGAAGCGTTTTTGACAGCAGTTCCCCCGGAGCCATTGTGGAGTGGCGCCTTTTCTAACTCCGTCAGACGGGCGCTCCAGACCCGTTTGAGACCTTCTAGGGCCTGCGCATGCGCTGGCCCGCGACCTTTGCCGGGAGTTTGTGGCTGAGGCGAAGTAGGGGCGATCGGGACTGGCAAGGGGGGGGGACTGAGGCGCGGAGAAAAGCCGACGGCTTGACGCTGCGAGAGCGCAACCGCCAACTCAACGAGGGCCCGCTGTGCGCCCATGGAAAGATCCGCAAACCGTTTGAGGCCTGTCGGGCGGTCAATCGACGGTCCGCCGCTCGCTGCAGCACTGCGTGGCGAAACTCCGCTGGGTTTTGCACACGCAACAGGTCTGCTCAGCGCGTGCGCTACAGCTGGGCTGTCCAGATGGCTCCCGGGGCTGCCCGCACCAGGGCGGTCGGTGAGCGCTGGTCGTTCCTCTTGACGAATCTTTCCTGGGCTGTTGAGCTGACGAGGTTGCAACTCGGCGGCGACCACTGTATGTGGAGCAGTCTCCCGTACTGTGGCTGTGGTCAACGAGCGGGGCAGATCGGCCAGGCGGTTCCCTGCCTGAGAAAGCTGCAAGCTTGACGGTTTGTCGAGCGGGGGCAGTAGGTGAGGGGCTGCCGGTGCCCGTAAGGAGGGCCTCAAAGAAGGCACTTTCTCGGGTCCCGCCGGAGGCTCTCCACCCGACATATTGGCCGGCTTGGGCGGGGGGAGGTTGGATGCAAAGGCCAGAATTGCGGGATCTGGGACGATTCTCGCCTGGAGCCGGCTCGACGCCGAGACCGCAGGCTCCATCTCACGAAGTTTCTTCAGGAGCGCCAACCCCTGTTCTGAGGTGGAGTCTTGTGGGCACTGGCGCGCCCCCGTGCGTGCATCTCCCTCTCCGAAACCGCTGACTGGTGCCGCTAGGCTGCCGACCGACGTTTGTCCGGGC